CCCCCCCCCCCCCTCTGTGCCAGCAACGCCAAACTGCACAAGCAACGTACAGTTCGCGTCTCGATATTTCAGAGTTTCCAATGATATCCTTATCGATATGAATTCCTTAACGGAGAATCCAACGAATGCGTAATCCTGTGTATCCGGTTGCCTACTCGACGGGCCAACGGGTTGCATGCGCCAGGGGTCACCGGTTCGTACCCGCCGTAGTGTTCGGCGCTGTAGGGATCGCGACAACCTAAAATTTTCAACATGGCAGCTCGTACGATTCGACTCGATCCGATACCTTACCGTTGGTGGACACATCCGTTGCTTGGATATATCGGCCTGGAGAAAAGAGGTTTTGGACGGAAGCAGGCAGAGGAAACGGGAGCTCTGCGGTTAATTGCAAATTGAAGAAATAAATGGCGGAGCGTCGCGGCGGCGCGGGTTTGGCAGGGGCCAACAGAGAGACGTTTCTCGCGGAGAGACATAGCCGGTGTGCGTTCTGCTGGTCGTTTCGTCGCTTTGGTCGTCGGTTTCCTCGTTGGTTCGTCGGTGTGGTTGCCGCGCGCACATCGCCATCGGATAAAGGATCGACCGTGGCGATTCCGGACAGGAATTCCCGATGAGATGGGCGGAAAGTACAAAGGTTCGACGCGCTTCGGCGGTTCTCGGTACGGGAGGGCTTCCGGTCGAATTCGGCTAGCTCCGATCGGGCTCGTGCTTGCTCGTCTAGGATCGGGCCGGCCGGTGGGGTCTACATCGTGCAGGACGGGTAGTAGCAGGCGCGCCGCGAGGAGACCGGCAGTTTTGCGCTCCGTGCAACGGCCAATCGGCCAGTTCGTCGCCGGCTGTTCGTGAAAGAGGTATTTTCGCACATCGTTCTTGCGCTCGCTCTCGCTCTCCAATCCGGGAACCTTCTGCTCTCTCGCATCGTTCGCCGAGATTATTTCATTTCTCGGCCGTTCGCTGATCTCCAAGCCAGTCCTGGCTGTCGGCTCGCAGATTTCCTCGTGCCCTCTCGTCGAGAGCAGCCCCGTTTTTTTCTCGCACGAAATTTCTCTCCCCGTCGGTAACGTTAACGACATTTAATCGTCTCGCCCGAATCCGATCTTTTTCTTCCCCCCGCGCAACGTGTTTCGACCTCGGTCACCGACCGGTCGAGCTTCTCCTTCTCTCTCTCTTTCTCGCTCTCTCGCCAGAAGCTACCCGGACCCGGCCTCGAATTCGTAAGTGTGCTGCATCGTATCCGTTCGCGACCGGCTCTGCCACGTATGTTCGCATCTCCGAGCGAAATTGCCCGAGTGTGTTTGGTGACGTGTTAAATACGCGGCCATTTCCACCGGTTTCGAGCGAGATACAGAGAGTGTGTATTTGCGAGTGTGCTCAGACAAGATAGAGAGAGAGAGAGAAAGAGAGATTGAATCGTTAGACAGAGTAGAACCAGTAAAAGAAAAGAGATACGTAATCGGTTGGTATTCTCGGTAAATGCTCCGAATTCCGCGTACCCGCCGCCGATAGAGGCCGTTATCGGTCTCGACAACCGAGTACGTTCCGCGACGTTCCGATCGTATTAGTAGATCGCGATTCGTCCAGTCACTTTAGTCGTGATCGTTCGCACGGTGGAGAAAGATCGCGGGGAGCCCCGCTGGTACTTCGACGTTCATTCTTCGGCCACGCATACTCGCCAGCAGAGTTCGATCGTGAGTACGTGAGAAAAGTCGTAAGCAAATAAAACGGAGGCCACCGGGAAAGGGATCGGAGAAACCACGAATTTCGGTTTTCCGTGAAAGTTTTTCGCGAGTCAGCAGATGGTGAAGCTCCTGCGTAGTTGACGATCAGTATGGAGGAGAGAAAAGAGGGAGAGAGAGCGAAAGAAAGAAAGAGAGAGAGAGGATGGGTGAGTAAGGGGGAGAAGGAAAGAAAGAAAGAATAAAAACGATGAGCAGCCGGCCTCGTAGCACGCGGGGGTAAAAGTCCGGTCGAAAATAATTTCGAGACACGGCTGCTGTCACGTATACATACGGGGCCGGCTTATGCCGCATTCCGGTCCAGCTTACGAAACGGAACGGAACGAAACCATTTTTAATTTTCGCACCGACACTCTCGAGTCCGCGGTCAAGTGATATCCGGAGAAGTTCGCTGTTTCTGCTTCCCTTCCTTCTTCTTCTTCTTCTTCGTTCTCTCCGTTCGACTTTGATGTCGTCGAACGAATATTTCACGGAAGAAAACCGCGGATCGATCGATGTGGCGAAACTAACCAAACCGAAGGAAACGTCACGTAATAGTGCCTGCGCCGCCGGCTAACCTCGTTCTCGCAATTCACCGGAAGAGGTAAACCACGTGCACCACCTCGGACATACACAGGTAAATTGTATCCTTGATTTTCTTTCGTTTTTCTTTCTTTTATTCGTGGCTCGTCGGTCGTCGTTTCGCGTCTCGATCGCGTTGCTATAAAAACGTGTCGTCGAACGTACGGCGAGGAAAAAAAAATTGTTACCACGACTTTGAACTCGAACGATCTGGCACGTTGTTGAAAAACGATCGTATCTAAAGCTAAACGGCCGTGGCACGCGAATTTTTGCCCGCATATTACACGCGTTTCTTGATCGCGTACAACCGCCTGCGGGATAATTCTATCCGGCGATGATGAACGTCACACCGGTATTAAAATTATCCGCGATTAATCGTCGGCAATATTCGTGCGATATTGTAAATCGGACATCTCGATTGCTTCGACGATTGTAGCGATAACCGTGAACCGGCTGGCAACGCCGGCGAGACCTCTTGAAAACGAGAATATTCGCCGCTCCGTTTTCCGTCGCGATATTATTTTTACACGTTCCCGCGACCTTAACACGTAGTCGGTTGCCACATTCCAAAGATCGCGAGTTTACGTTTAGTTTCTTATTCTGGTAAAAAAAAAAGAAAAAAAAACATAAAGGAGCCCGTCGCTATATGTTCGACGTTATTTCGCAAAATGGTCACGCTCGAGAGCCACCTTCAACGACCCTTTGCTCTCTGCCGAAAAGTTTATCAACAGCGTTCCTTCTCGTTCGGACACGCGACGCTTATCATCGACGCTGGCTTTTACGTAACGTTTGAAATTTTCGCGAGAAAAACGAAATCATCGAAATTTCGTCCCTTTCTTCTGGCGTACCGTGTGCATGCTGCTCGACCGATTTAAACCTGTACAGTAATTAATGCGCGCCCGTAAATTGCACGATTGGAGGAAAATGATTTTCTCCGTTTCATTTGTAACGGGAAAAAATGTTTATTCGTCCCGGACGGTGATATAGATCGCTTTCGTTCCACTCCCTGAATGTTCTTCCATCGCTGTTTCCCCGATTTCTCGACCGTTCGCGAATCCCGATAACCGTTACGGAGAATACGCATACATGCAAAATCGATCGTCGTACGTGATATTGGATTGAATTTTCGACACGTGTCGCGCGTCTGTCACAACTGCTAGCTTTACACGCTCGTTGGCAAGAAACATATGCCCGAGTTATTATAACCACGTAATCGGTTCAAGCTACGCCGAAATAATTATCTACGTGTTTCGACGTGCGTTCGACGTCGTACTCCTGCGCGGAAAGGTGTGCGAAACTGTATAAGGTTAAGTAGGCGAGTGTGTGCGTCAGAGGTTCGTTGAAACACGCGATCACCATCCGCATTGTGTTCCGTCTTGAATTTTCCGCCGGTGTGGTTCTGGCTTTTTTTTGCATCGAATTGCAAATGAGAATCGACAGCCTCTTGGTTAGGCTCGCGAGAGACCGTAGGAATCGTCATGGTCGTTTACGGTGACATCTACGTTTCCTGTTAACAGACACGTTTCAAGCAGCCCTACTTATCGATCGGTGCAAACAGATCCTTCGATTATCGATAGAACCGCCCTTGGCTCTTTCGCGCTCTCTAGTAACCGTTTGCTCCTCAAGATCGCGGTGCCACCCACGTTTCTCTCCACGCTTTTCATACTTTCCGTGCGCTCGCGGTTGCGACAGCGTATGTGTAGTTTCCATTTTAATGCTTCTCGAATCCGGGAGGGCCCGTTAAATGAATCGTAGTCACGACAAAGGGAGCAGCCAGTCTGGTTCGTCTTCTCTTTTTTTTTTGTTTATTAATACCTGGAATCTAGTTTAAGATTCGTATCGACTGACAAGAGAACATAACCTTCAAATTCTTGTTTCGCCGAACGAAAGAATCGCGTGTACGCGAGCGAGAAATAGTTCGCTGAAATTCCAGAAAGGATTCGTAGAAATTTCGTAAAATCTGATAACTGGAAGATTCGAAATGGAACGGGTAAATCTTTTGACATTTATAGACGATATTACAATGTTTTCGAATTGAAAGCTAGAAGAGGGCAGCCAACGTGTAGTAGTAGTAGTAGTAGTAGTAGTAGTAGTAGTAGTCACAGTCAGTCATGTGGGCCGAGGGAATTCGCCGGTCGTAACGCTCGTTCGGTTCGGTACCGGGGCGGTCTCGTGGTACGTATGCCGACCGCCAGCTGTGTCTGTGCGTAGACTTGTGCGTGAGTCTCTCCTCTCTCTCTCTCTCTCTCTCTCTCTCTCTCTCTCTCTCTTTCTCTCTCTGTCTGTCTGTCTGTCTGTCTGTCTGGCTCTCTTTTTCGCTCGCTCACAAGCACTCAAAAAGGCTCTCCCGTACATGTGCGCTGATGTCAACGCCTGGTGGGTCGCCGTGCCCGACGCTGGTTTTATTTAATCACGCTGCTCTGCTCGGCTGCCGGCAGGCCTGTTGCTAGGCACCCTTCTCCCCCTACCTCCTGCCTCCTGCCTCCTTCCATCGAGCGCGGGGCCCTCCGCGACGTGCCCCGCCCCTGTCTACACCTCCCTCCATCCAGCCGTGTCCCGAACATCGCCGGCTCTCTTCCTCCCTGCTCGCCTACCCGTTTTCTTGCTCTCTCTCTCTCTCTCCCTCTCTCTCTTCTTTTTCCTCTCTCTCCGATTCTCGCGATGCTCGTTCTCCACGCGAATACGCATCGTTTCTCGCTTTGCCTCTTCACCGCGTTTCATCCATTACCGGACACCGACGTCATGGCCATCGGGAAATCTTCCATTTCGTGGCAGACTTCTCTCTTTCTCTCTCTCTCTCTCTCCCCCTTGGTCCGTCTGGTTGCAGTCTCATTCCCCTTGGCCCCTCGCGCAGGGTGTCGCGCGCCTTTTAAGGTGCAATCCCGCAAAGGACATTTCGATAGGGGTTAACACGTTCGCTGGCCCAAGCCTGTCTCCAAGAAATCTGTTTGTTAGACGTCGGCATACCAGACGATAAATAAATCATAGTAAGTCGAAGAAAAATAAATGAATCATTCTTGTTAGCAACGAACCTCTCTGATAGGCGCGTCGCGGTGTCGAAGTCCTCGAAAGCGTCCAACGCGCAGCTGCATTCCGCCCCACGGGGCCCTGGATTCGCAGGTGCCCCATTATTCGCAAGAATCTCGAGCAATGGGCGCAACCTATTTAACGCTTTTTAAAACTTTTATTCCATATCTATTGAAATTATAACCTTGTTGTCGTTGTTGTTGTTGTTACAACATGATATACGTTAGTCTAGTTAAGAAGGTCGGTACAGTAATGTCTTTTTTACCAACGCTCAGATTGTCCACTAAATTGGACAATTTGGGAAGGGGAGACACGATTATTCGAGAGCCTCGCGGCTCGTTTTTATAATTGTGGACAATATTATAACTATAAAAATAAACCGCAAGGCTCGAACAATCGTATCGCCTCTTCCCAAATTGTCCAATTTTGTGCGTCCCCCATCTGGGCGTCAATTAGAGAGACATTACTGTATAGTTCCAACGTTAAAAACTGGGCGCGCGGTCGTCGAGGATCGTTCATTCCCACCGGAAGTGTCCGCGCGCGCGACCGTCATAATGTGTGTATCGGCCTAGGTAAAGGTTTCCAGAGACGATCCTCGTTGAAAATCGATAGGAGAGCGCGATTGTGTCGGGACGCGCAGCTTTCCGAAGAATGCAGCCGCGGACGCCAGAACGCGAAGCCTGTTTCTTTCCTCGGATCGCATTCTTGCGAGCGTGTGGTGCACGTGTCTGTACTCGAGAAACGCGAGAGGAGAGCCTAGGCTCGCGCGCGATCCGATGCGTTCGGGATGCACGTAGATGGAACGAGTTTCGAGCGAACATCTAATTGGAATGTCGTCGGTGGCGAGCGGATTCTGGGCTCGGTCGGTTCGCACCGGTCTCCTTTTGCCGATGGAATCTACGCGCATTCCTTGTGTGTACCCCGGGCTGTTCTCGCTCGATCTACGGCCGTCTCGATCGCGCGGAAGCTTTATGGAAAATCGAACAGATTCGGTGACTCTTGTTTTTCTTTTTCTGTTCGACAGAGCCTCTTGAGACGGCGGCGATAGTCTCCTCCGGCTAGCGTAGGCCCGCGTCTGGACAAAGGGAACGGAAATGGCATGCGAATCCCGATGACGTCAGCCGTCGCCGTGAAAGAAAAAGAAACGCGTATAGGACGGTGCACGAGACGAAACGAGACGAGACATGGGACGGTACGGGACGAGAGACGGACGTGGTGGGAGGTTGGAAGGGGCAAGGGGGCGGAGAGGGGCACGCCACAGGACAGAAGAGAAGAGAGGAGGAGGAGGAGAGGAGTTGGCCGAGGCAGCCAGCGAGGAGAACGGGGGATAAAGGAGAAAGAAAGGGAGGAAGGAAGATTCCTGGATCTCCTTTTTCGCGCAGCCGGTTTCGCGTAGACGGCCTTGAAATTCGTGAGATCGGAGAACAATCGGGTACGGGCGTCCGTCCGTGCAGGATGGTCCACAGTGGCGCCGACCGGTCTCCATCTTGCCCCACCATCATTCTCCACGGTTCGTTAAGGACCCCACCATACGTCGGGAGCAGGTTTCGGCTCGAGGCTTCCACGCCCGTGTGTATAGACTGCTTCGTCTGCTCCTGCTGCTGCTGCTGCTGCCGCTCCTGCCAGCCCTCTCTCTATCGTTGAACCGTTCCGGCCCGTCAAGGACACAGTTCGGTTCAGTGCCGTGCAAAAGAGGGTCAGCCGCGTAGACGAAAAGTTTCAAGGGCAGACACGGCACGACGCTGCGACGCGACGGCACACCGCAGGCCGCTCGCCGCAACGGGGACCCGACCGCCCCTCCGCGCGCGCTCGAGCTCGCCTCGCATCGCTTCGCCTCGCCTCGCCTCGCCTTGCCGCGCCTCGCCTCGTCTCGCGATCCGCCGTTCCTCGCGAAATTTCAAACTGCGCGCGCCTCCTCGCTCTCGACGACCTCCGGCCGACATTGAATTTGGGACTTGCACGCGTCTGCTCGCCGCTCGCCGCTGTTCCATGCCGGTCCTCGTCGAAGCAACGGAACTCCGTCGTCGGACCTGCACACGTCGTCGCAGCTCCTCGCACAGCTGTGTTTCCACCGGAGAGTACCAAGACAGCAACGAACTCTCGGAAAGATCACTCGGGTCCCGATGGAAGTGCTCGTGATGAATCTTTGCTGATTTTCGCCGGGATCCAGTGTGACCGGATCGAACAGTGTCGAACAGTGCGCGGGACTTGTTCTTTATCTGTGCGCCGGGGTCATCGACTCAATCTGCTCGAGTAAGTACAGAGGCACCAGTTATCGCGGCCGCGTATCGTCCAATTTGCAGTGACGCGTGTTCCCCGAGCCGCGCGTTCCCACGTATCCAAACGTTGTTATCCCCACGTACAAGACGCGTGCTAAACAACGGGGTTATACTCTATCCCATGGGGGATCCTCGGAAATTTTTCGTCGCGCGTAATTCACGAAGAATGCGGCCGCGGACCGTTGGGGCCAAAGAAAGAAAAGAGAAGAGAAAGAGCACGAAAGAGGTGAGCAGCAACGGCGGAGGAAGAGGGGGAGAGGGCGGGGCAACGATAAAACCGCTCGACGCTGTCTTTCGCGAAAACAGCTTCTCGTTTCTTCGTCACCACGTTCCTCTCTGCCACCGACGATCATCCCGATGCGTCCGTTCTTTCCCGAAGAAGTCGTGTAAAAATATCTAAAAAAAAAGTACCGTGTACGTACGCGTAAAAAGTAATACCGTCCGAGATCTATCTAGAAATGAAATTAATAATTTCATTAATTTTCCGACCGTGCCGAATCGAACGGAATTGTGTAACAAAGAAATCGGACTAACTTTTTCTCTAGACCGTGGTTGAATTAAAATCGTTTTAAAAAGAGAAAAATACCGCGTAGAAACAGTATATGGGGTGTATTCGGTTGAATCGATCATCGACGAGATATCGATCTTCCCCGTTCGAATATTCTCTGGGGAAGTTTCTCCTCGAAACGACGAACTCTATCGCTCGTCGCGCGAATTTGATTTTCCCATTGGCGCGGGACGCCGCGTTCGACAATCGGTATCTGCGCGCGCGGTCGCGTAAACTTCGCGAGCCTGTCCGCCTCTCGCCTGTCCCTGATGTAAATCGGCAGAGGCCGAGGAGGCTTTCGCCACCAGCGCGATAGACAAATTCGTTTCGCTTCCGTCGCGATTGAGAAAACTAACGCGAACGATCCTGGTCGCCATGTTCGAAGAGATTCCGTGAATCGGGAGCAGCCAGAAAGAGAAAGAGAGAGAGAAAGAGACCGCCGGGAGCGGAACGGCTATTTTTGCCTTTCCGCCAGAGCCTTTCTTTTCACTCTGTTTTTCCGCGCGTTCTGGAAACGCGGCCGCGCCTCGACCATCGAAATAGCACCGGCTATCGACCACGAGACCTCGCGCGAGCCGAACTCTTTTTTTCTTTTTTTTTTTTATCGAATTCCAGCCGGCGAACGTCTCCGCGAAAGCCGGCTGGCGGCTCGCCTTTTTCTCTCGCGAGCCTCGTCGGCGTTCGAAGAGGATAATGCGCCGCGAGCCATCTTATCGCAATCTTATCCGACCGTTCTATCGCTCGCTCTTTCCGCGTGCTCAAGGCCCGTCCTGAACACCTTCCCGCGAACGATTTATCGGTGAATCACTCGATTCGGCGATAGCTCGCCGCCTGCGTGCGACCGCGTGCCATGTTCTGCCCGTCTCAAGCCGACCGTTCCTACTTTTGCCGCGGACGTGCCAAAAGTCGGTCTTTCAATGTCGACATTACAAGAAACATTTTTTCTTGTTCTCAAAACTCAAAATAGTTCTTTCGGTTAACTCCGCGAGCTGGTGTTAAAAAGAGAATTATTTAAAGAGAATTATTTCAATTATATCCGATAGAATAAAATGCAAAGTTTGTTGTAAATTCTGTCGCGCGTGTCAACAAATTGTCAAACAGTTCTTCACGCGGTTCGCAAGAGTCTTTTTAACTCGCGAAGAGAAAACGGTCGGCATATAAAATTTCGGTGACGAGAAAAGTTCGTTGCAAATAATTAAAAACGATAGTTAAAAACAAAGTCATCCCGATTTTCCCCTCGTATTAAATATAGCTTCGATCGAACGATCTACCATGCCCCGTGACTTTTTTCAAAACCTCTTGCAACAACGCTAAGATCATTTCGGACACGATCGACGGGTTTTCAGCCTCGCGGAATTCGATTATCTCCGAAACGGAAAAGAAAAAAGGGACGCGTTCTCGCTCGGCGAGGCTCGCGTAATTCTACGCGGCGTCGATATCAACGGAACTTGTCCGAGCGGCGTCGTCGTCGTCGTCTCCATCGCAAGCCGGTCTCGGATTGCAGGCCAGCAATGCCGTCCGAAATCAATCCGTCTAACGTTTCCCTCGCGGCTAGACGAATCCGCGAGGACGACGAATAGAGAGCCGCGCAGCACGGGTCGTTTCCAATCGCCGACGTTCTCATTCCTGGCCGCTTAGTCACCGTTGACGACGACCCGGCCGGTTTCGTACAGCTCGGAAAAATATTCACGCGAGAACCCTACGCGAATTCGAGACGATCTCGGCGGAGCCGGCGAGCCTCGAACTTCGAAGCCGAATGACTCACATGGTGCGCCGCGTCGCTCGACCGCGCTTCTTCGAACGCCTCGACTTTCTCGGACGGGTACGTGCGTGCACGGCCGTCCCCCCCCCCCCCCCCCCCCCCCCCCCCCCCCCCCCTCCCCCCCACCCCCCCCCC